CAAAAGACTTCTAGATTTAATAACCAAATTCAGTAGCATAGCTGGATACAAAGTCAACACTAAAAAGTCAATAGCCTTGCTGTACAGAAGTAACAGACTCACTGAGACAGAAATTAGAGGAAGAATCCCTTTCACAGTGTCATGAAAAAAAATGAAATACCTAGGGATCAATCTAATGAAGGAAGTAAAAGACCTCTACATTGAAAACTATACCACTTTGGAAAAGGAGATTGAAGAGGACATCAGAAAATGGAAAGATACCTCTTGCTCTTGGATAGGCAGAATCCTATCCAATATAGTGAAAATACAGATTCAATGCAACCTCAATCAAAATCCCAACAGAGAATTAGAAAAAACAATTCTAAAATTCATTTGGAACCAGAAGAGACCCAGAATAGCAAAGGCAATTCTGGGTAACAAAACAGAAGGTATCACAATCCCTGACTTTGAATTATACTGCAAAGCTGTGGTGATAAAAACAGCATGGTAGTGGCAAAAGAACAGACCTGAGGATCAATGAAACAGACCAGAGGATGCAGAAACAACTGCAGACATACTCAGCCACCTTATCTTTGACAAAGGAGCCAAACACCCTTACTGGAGGAAAGATAGCCTCTTTAATAATTGGCCCTGCCAAAACTGGCTTCACACGCTGAAGATTGCAACTAGACCCATACCTTTCACCATGCACGAACCTAAAATTGAAATGGATCAAAGATCTAAATATTAAAACAGAAACACTAACTCTGCTGGAAGACAGAATAGGTAGAATGCTTGAGAACATAGAAGTAGGCAAAGACTTTATGAACAAAACTCAGACCGCACGAGAAATACTACAAAGAATCAACAACTGGTATCTCATCATAATAAAAAGCTTTGGGGGCTGGGGATTTAGCTCAGTGATGCTATTGCCTGCCTCACAAGTGCAAGGTCCAGAGTTGGATCCTCCGTTACCACACTCCCCAGGGGGGGAAAAAAAGCTTTTGCACAGCAAGACAAACCACCAACAGAGTGAAGAGACAACCCAAAGTGGGAAAAAAATGTTACAAGCTATTCAGATAAAGGACTGTTATCTAGAATATATATAGAACTCAAAAAAATAAGACCCGCCCCATATTTAACCCAATGGAAAAATTGGCATCCGAAATAAAAAGACACTTTCTGGATAAAGAATTAGAAATAGCAAATAAATATATGAAAAAAAAGTCTGGTCATTAGAGATACGCAAATTAAAGCAACGCTGAGATCTCATCTCACTCCAGAAAAAAATGGCTGCTATCAAGAAATCAACCAATAGGGCCGGGGACTTAGCTCTGCTTCTGCTGCCTGCCTCAAAAGTGCAAGGTCCCGAGTTCGATTCCTAGTACCCAAAATGAAAGAGAGAGAGAGAGGAAGGAAGGAAGGAAGGAATTAAGGAAGGAAGGAAGGAAGGAAGGAAGAAAGGAAAGAAAGAAGAAATTAACCAATAGCAAATGCTAGAAGGGCTAAGCGGGGAAAGGAACCCTTCACTGCTTGTGGGAGTGTAGACTGATTTCCACAGCAAAAATCAGTGTGGATATTTCTCAAAAAACTAAAGCTACAGGTTCCCCTTGACTCAGTTATTCTTTTTCTTTTTGTTTGGTATCTTCCCAAAAGAATTAAAAGCATCATACCACAGCATGATATGCACACCCATGTTCATAGCAGCACAGTTTGTAATAGCTAAATCTTGGAAACAGCCCAAATGCCCATCTACTGACAACTGGATAAAGAAGATGTGGGTTTTGTTTTACACAGTGGAGTACTATGCTGCCATAAAGAAGGATGTGCTTCAGACATTTATAGCTAAAAGGATGGACCTTGACACCATATTCTTAAGTGAAATAAATTGGACCATATGTTTACATACCACATTGTTTCTCTGGTGTGAGAAACTGGATATGGAAATAAGGACTGAGATGTATGATGGGTGTTGGGAAATGGGAAGGGCTACAAGGGAGGAGGAAAGGAAGGGACAAGAAAAAAGTGAAAATAGAAGGAAACATTGAAGCAAAACTTTTGTACATAGGGAGGGGAGGGAGCTGGGGGATGGGATAAGACAAAATGAAATTTATGAATAATAACTTACAAAATCAAATCCTTCCCATCACTCTGACCCTCAGACATTGCTGCTAACCTGGTTTCTGGCTTCTCTGGTTTACCCTATGCCTTAGTTATTTTTCTCATTTCTGGGACAAAGCACCCGACACCCAAAGTTAAAGAAGAAAAGATTTATTTCAGCTCACGGACTGTAGAGGTTTCAGTCCAAGGCAGGGTTGGCGACAGAGGGGCATCACAGAGGAAAAACAGTTCATGGCAGGCAGAAGACACCAAAAGCGAGCAAGAGGCCACTGGTAGTAGTAGCTTCTTTCTGTCCCTTTATATTCTACCTAGGTTCCCTTCCCTCAGGAGTAGCACTCATACCCAAAACTGTGCCAAACCAATCAGAGGACTAGTTCAGGAATCTCACAGCCTTAGTCCCAGCCTCACAGTGCTCTAGACCCAGCCACCTCTGACCACATGAGGCTTTGGGGGGACTTCTAAACACAAGCCATAACATCCTACATTCGACACCCATGGAAAACACTGCTGTCTCCCAGTGGTGAGGGAGGCACAGCACGATGATAAACATCATCAGAGTATGATGGATTTGATCTCTAACTGCAAGAACAGCTCCCAGCAATGAGGTATGAACAACCTTTTGTGTGCAAAGGAAGCCAGTCTCAGAAAGCTGTAGTGAAAAGCCTGGTGAAGGTGGCACTAGGGGTCCAGGCTGGCCTGGCTGTTGTTCTCAAGTCAGAATTCCAAGGCACACTTCAGATTTGGTGAATCTGAATTTCTGTGAGCAGAGCCCTGGAGTGTCCCGTCTGGAAGTCAGTTCTCAACTGTGAAGGCCAGCAGGCACAAGCAGCCTTGCAAGTCCAGAGAGATGGTCTTGTTGGTTGCATTTAGCATGTATGCAGGCTTCTCTATCCTGAGTGTGTAACACAGTGCCCAACTCTGGAGACCTGAGCACTAACTAGCAAATGAATATTAGAAAACTGACAAGACTGGAGTAGTCAGAAGCCTTGAAAGTAGCCAATGGCGTGAGAAAAAGATAATTCAGATCTCCAATATGTGATAAGTTCAGGGTGGCAAAAATGTCCACTAATGTTTGCTTATAGGAATTTGTTTTTAGTATATTATGGCTTAATATTTTGCAGACAAGATGTACTCTCAGCTTATTTATAGATTTCTCTCCATGTTAATAATTATATCCTATTTTCTAAAATATGCAAGTGATTCTGTTGAATGCCTTTTCCCTAGATGAAATAGGTTGAGTGTGGTCCTGCTTCTCACTAAAGCGAAACTAATGCCTGGTAGCACTGACCGTAGGGTGATGCTCCAGACCACTCTGAAAGAATAGACACTTCCCTAGGATCCACTATGAAAACTGGGATGAAGACAGGCGAACCTCTGAGGCTGTCACCAGCCCATTAGCGCTTGGTCTGACACGGTCTGTGGGCAGACTGAAAGGGACCTGCGTGCCCCCACACTGGCTGGTTCCTGCAGGAGCAGCCCAAATGGCTGGATCCCAACCCAATTCCAGGCTGCTCTTTGCTGACCTGCCCTCCCAAGTCAGTGCTGTGATTTCTGCAGACAGGGAGTGTCAAGGCAGGGAGATGAGCAGGTGCCGAGGCTGGGCAGGGCCTCTAACCACCCCACAGGTGTCTTTTCATAGGACTGTCACTCTGACTGCTTTCCCCAGACACCAGATGGTTCCTATGAAGAGACAGGAAGTACTTCCTGTCTCAGATGCTGTACCCTTGGCCTGCTGTTCTGTGGATCAAAGGGGGCATCAACCCTCCACAAAGTCAAGGCTAGAGCAGGAATGCTGTGTTCGGTTCAAAATTACGCTCCCCCCACCAAGATCCTCACATCCAAATCACTAAAAGCTTCCCTAATTTGAAAGGGAGGAGAGGCACTGCTAAATGTTACTAAGGATTTTTAAATGGGGAAGTGTTTCTTGGATCATCTGCGTGGGCCATGAATGCAACCCCATGTATTCCTATAAACGGGAGGCAGAGAGAGATCATTTCGTACGCCATAGAGGATAAGATCGTGTGAAGATGGGGCAGAGAAATAACGAGGATGCTCAAGGAATGCCTGCAGCCTGGTGAGGCAAGACTCCCACTCTGGCCCTCAGACCCTCCAGCTCAGCATTGCTTTTGCCATGAGTTTTCCCCAGTGATACTGAACTTGGAGGTGCTGTTCACCGTGGGGGACATCGGACAGTCATAGCCATTAATCCCCTTGCCCCGTAGCTTCAGAGATACACTCGGGCCACCAGAACACTAACAAATGGAGATTTGCTTTGCACGGGGACAACTAACGTAGTGTTTAAGATTCTGGAAGCAATCCAAATCCTCACAGGTGATGAAGGAGCAGAATTGCAAAGGAGAAATCGAGATAATCCCGACCATCTCATTAGTTCCATCGCCCGGTTTTAGAGACAGGAAACTGGGAGCTGAAGAAGTCCGATAACTGTCACGAACCAGCCTGACCTAGAACAGCTAAAATGCATTCTCTAAGCATAAGTCATAGGGAAAGCCCCTCCCAATACCTTCTATCCATAGGCGATGCTAACTGAAACAGGAAAGAATAGAAGTAGGTACACGAACTGTTACTCAGGGTGCCTGGAAAATTAATTTGCAACTAATCATATTCTGCTTTGTCTGTGCCGCTGTAGTGCCGAGTTGTCATTTAAACATTGTTGTCATTTAATCTTTGGTTTATTGATTGGCTTATCCCCCTAAGGGGTGTACATTTCTCTAAGCAGGAATCAGGCTGTTTGTCTAGCTCTCCACCCGCTCACCAACCCACAGCAGCTACACTGGTCCCTATTCACAGCTAGTGTCCAGTAAATATTTATTTGATCGCTGGTCCTCTCAACAGCATACAGGCTATTTCGTAGCCCTAGCGTAATTCCATTTTTCTTCCAGATGAGACCTCCAAAGCCTATCAAAGGCCATCTGTTCCAGGGACAACTGCACAGCCAATGGCCCTGATGCAGGTCTTGGCTACCCTGGAAGCTGAGGCCACCCACACTGCCTTGCCAAAGCCATCTCTACTGGTGGCCTCTACCAGACCACTGCCCATGGGCCACAGGAGCTGGGAGACGGGTGAGTAGCAGGCCACGTGTTGTTGTGTGCTACAAGAGTGGGTCGTGAGGACTTGAACGTAGCAGCTCTGTGTGAACATGAGTTCAAGGTGCCCAGCCCCCACCTCGAGCTGGCTGAGTGGGAGCATCTGAGACTTGCAGCAGAGGCGTTAGGGGTGTGTTCTTGCAGATTCCAAATAAGTCAGCTGGAACTGAATTTTGAAGATGCGATGCTTTGTCAAACTTTCCCATTGCAAACTCTCCATTTCTCCAAAAGTTCGACTAAAAGGGTAGGAGGTTTTCATGAAACCATAGTTGGATGAGCAGGCTGTTTCTTGTTGGTTGGTTTGCCTGTCTTCGTTTAAGTAACAAGTGGTATATAATTGGAAGTCCTCCAATATTAGAAACACCACCAAAAGAATTCCTTCAGGAAAAGTCAAATGGTTGAAATTTTTGTTCCTTTCTTGATTGCTTTTTGTCAGACCACGTATATTCATTTCTTAAATGGCTTTCTCCAAGTCTAGTTGATGAGGTTAATATGTGCACTACATCAAGTAAAGCCTTAATCCAATCTTGGGTTTCTGCATGGGCTTCTATCTATAGCATCTGGGGCTAATAAGCACCTATCGCATTTCAAAGTCTTCTAGCAAGAGGAGATGGGACATTCCGGTCAGAATGCCACTCCTGTCAGAGAATTATTTTCTAAATATTTACTTCCTTTTTCATCCAGGAGGACGCTCCTAGGACTTATTTTCGGCCTCTCCTCCAGCTTCCAGTCATGACTTCCGTGTAGCGCGGCCCTTCCCCCTTCCCTGGCAGAGCCCAGCTCTCTGTCTGTCCATCTTTTTATTTAACACAGAGAAATCGGCACATTCAATGCGCTGGAAACTTTTCTACACAACTTACAGATATCAGCCTATAGGTCAGCCCTTTGCAACAACCCTGCAAAGTGGAAATACTACTTCTGATTTGAATAACCCATTATACTGATGAGGAAAGCAAGGAATAGGGAAGGGAGGAAGGAGAACACTTGTCCCAGGTCCCACAGCGGGGAATCAGCAGAAGAGGAATTCACTCCGGCCTGGGTCACCCCTATCATCAATAAACACGCCTGGCCCAGGAAAAACATAATCTTGACACACGTGGGGTGGCAAGATTAGAGGACGCTAGACCTCCTCAACTTCTCCTGTAATTAATAACAAAGGATGCGAGGGAGGTAGCTCTCGCTTATAATTCCAGAACTCTGGGAAGCTGAGGCAGTGGGGTCACAAGTTTAAGACCAGCCTGGGCAACTTAGTGACTTAACAAAACCCTGTCTCGAATTTTAAAATAGTAATAATAAAATAAAAAGGGTTGGAAATGTATCTCACTGCAAAGGCCCGAGTCCAATGTCCAATACCGCAAAATAATAACAATAATAATAATAATAATAATAAGAGTAAATATCAGAGTTACACAGGCCATACAATCCATGGCCAGGCACATTGCATGCATTATTTTAACCTTCTCAACACATCTATGAAATACACATCATACTTTGGTGTTGTTATGGGGTGCTTTATATTCTGACATGAAAATCTTCTCCCCATATTCATCCCTAGTTTGACGCCCAGTGTGCAAGCTAGAACTTGTCAATGTCCACCGCCTCACGACTAGCTACCCTTCCAGAAAAAACAATTTTTGGTTCTCATCATCTTTGGTATACCTTGGGCCTCCCAGAGCCAACTACTGATGAGTATCAAGATACCACCGCAGGAATGGATCTTATTCTATTTAGCAAGTGACTCATGGAAAGGGTTGTGATATAAACTTTCCAAATCAGAATATCATAAAAATATTTTTTGAGACTTTGAAATACATCAGACACTTCCCTCCCCAACCATCCTATTCCTTTTTACCTCAGGCTAATTTTAACACAGGCACACAATACTAGATGGCAAAAGAGAAATGGTTAGAAAGGATGCTGAGAGCCAAGACCGATGGGTCCCAGAGCCAGAAGTTTCCTTTTTCACATTTCAGGCCCTTGGCTTCAGATCTCTTCATTCTTTCAAATATGCTTGAGCATCTGAATAAGTCGTTGTTGCTCCTGTTGTCCCCTCAAAAGACATCAAGCCTTACATAGTAGCACTTCTAATTAAATACATGGAATATTTATTTAGCTACACTGGGAGCATGGAAATCCTGTTACAAGCTGGGCTGTGCTTGTGGAAAACCTCAAAAAACCTGAAGTAGTGGCTCCTAGTCTGGCCTCTGCCATCTTTCCTGGCTTGGGGTCAAGGGCTTTGGGCCACAGCCTCCTGGACTGTCGGCATTCCCTGCCCTTCCTGTCCCAGCCCACTTTCATGCTGACACACCATGCAGTGTGGCCAGACCGCTTGAGACAGGAGTCAGATATGCATGGGAGCGAGAGCTAAAACTTGTAGTCTACTCAAAGAATGGAAGAAAGAGATAAATGGATGTTCCCATGTCTATGTTCTTTTGCAGTGACACCTGTCACACTCCATACAATCCACCAATTTAAAGCGTGAAACTCAAAGGCTTTTAGTATGCTAGTACTTATGTGACCATCCCCACAATCGATTCTAAGACATTTTATCACCCCCAAAAGAAACCTCATATCTATGAACCATCCCCCACCCTTCCCCTAATCCGCTCCATTCAGCCTTAGGTGACCGCCAATCTACTTTTATGAATGCCTCTCTTAATGTAATTTTTTTGTGTGTGGTATTTTAGTCCAACCAAGTGAAGTAATGTTTAGTATTTAAATAACTCTTTCCTTTCTTCAAACAAGCTGAAAATATTCTGCCAATAGTAAAAGAGCAGCTCTCTTATACTGCTGATAGACAAGTGAGTTGCTGTTATTTATTAAGGAAAGATTTTTTTTTTCCCCCTCCATATCTGTGACTGTGGTCAAAAGATTCTACAAGCAGTTGTAGATGGGGTGGTCAAGCAAGTCCTGAGTCACGTATTCATTCAAGAAACATTCATCAAACGCCTACTGTGGGTGGGGCAGTGTTCTAGGACCTTGGGCTTCCTCGGTGGACACATCCCACCGTGCTACCTGCAGCAGGTTACTTGGGCTTGGGACCCCTGATGAGAGCCGGGATGGAAGAGGAGGTACCCATATCTAAGGTCTGTGAGTCATCTTGTCCCGACGATGAGGTCAAAAGCTGCCTTTCAGAAAGGACATAAACACTTAGAAGGAAACTAATGGAGAGAATAAACTTCAAAACAGGAGACGGGGTCTTCAGCATCTCATGGGGAGAAGTGGAGGCAGATGGAAGGACGCTAAGGAAAGCGATTTGAATAATCATGACCACCTCACTGATGCATGAATATGCAAACTAAAGACGGAAAGGACCGAGCAAGGCTGGGAGTAAAGGAACCAAGACAGGACAACAGAAGCTTCTCAAGGGAAAGGGGTAAGGCTGTTCTTCATGGCAGAGGCCAGGGTGGCACTGGGCTCCAGGACCCAAGCTGCCACAGAGCTGTGTCCCGCATCCAGGAGCATTTTAGACAGGCAAACCTACAGCTAGGCATAGGGAGAGTCCTGAGAAATGCAGAAAATCCCTCCGGGTCCATCTTCGGGGTTACCTGAGTATACCAGAGGCCTAGAAGGGAGTGTGGCTGCACTTAGCGTGGTTTCCGAAAGATTCGTTTCAAGAAGTACCTGGTCGCTTCAGCTGTTCTGGCTTTGAATGTGCATCACAGATAAGAGACAGGAAGGAATATCGCCGCCTAGTGGTAAGGAAAGGCAATGGCATGACCATCATCTTCACCTAGGAGAGAAGAAACCATGCAACTTGGGACAAGAGACCACTATCTGCCACTGCCCAACCCTTCCACGTGCTAGCTACCGTCTCACCAACATGTCTTGCACCTGTGAAATTTTATCTTTCTTTAGGTGTCTGCAGAAAGGTTTTCTTAGGGGCTAGGGATTTAGCTCAGTGGCACCATGCCTGCCCCGCAAGCACGAGGTTTTCTTAAAATCCAGTCTGACAAGAGTAAGAACAAGACAAGCACTCCACATGAAACATGGGGAAAAGCCATAGTCAGGCAAGCTACAGGGGAACTACAAGTGGCCGATAAATATACTGTTTAAAACATGTCCGACATCACCAGGAATCAAATAAGTGCAAATTAAACAACAAAATTTCATTTTCCCCCAATTACACTGCAAAGTGATAACACAGTCTGGGCAAGAGTCTGGTGAATTAAACAATTCACACATTCCAAAATATATTCTAAAGTAATTATTAGCCCAGGGTGAAAAGGAGCTTAGACACAGTTGTTCAGACAGAAAAATTAATGGAGATGCTTTATCTGCCAATTGTGAGAATAGTTAACGTGGCCATTGAACTGTTAAACTGATGTAGCCGGGCACCTAGTGACATGACCAGAGTCCCCTGGGGCAAACTGTCCAGTCAAATCAGTGGCCCATGCGGTGTGACTGAAACATGGCAAATGTTTAAATTTTTTAAAAATTGTTACAGCAAAATGTTACACACTGTCATTAATCCTCCTCCAAATATGACTCTCACTCTGAACATACTTATCTCATCATGCTTGGCACTTTCGCAAGTCCTCTTTCGTGAATATCTTTAGTTGCACTCTTCTGGCTGCCTCGAGGTCGTGAGTCAATGCCAAACATTCACGTTTCACGGTCGTTCTGACTTTGGGAAAGACTTAGCGGTTCCAAAATAGCAGATGCAGTGAACAAGGCGAATGAAGACACACCGTAATGTCTCCAGGAGCCTGCCTTCCTTGGTCTGGATTCTGCATTCATTGCTTTTTTGATCCTTTACACCTTGTAAAGATATTAATGCAAGAGGACTTGAGAACGGCTTCCAAAGGTCGCAGGAATGTTGGGATAAGTGTGCTCAACTCAAGAGTGTTGGGAGGTAAGGGTACCGTATCTTTTACCATAATTGTTTTTTGTAAATATGCACTGTATACTTCCATCACACCTAGAACAAAACAGCACGGGGCCCAGTGTTGTCCTTATAATTGTGTGCTGTCCAT